GGGTTCCCTGAAGGCTATCAGGCCACCCTAAGGCCTGTCTCTTATACACATCTAGATGTGTATAAGAGACAGGTGTGTGTGTGTGTGTGTGTGTGTGTGTGTGCGACGATAATGATATATATACGTATATTTGTATGTATATATGTATATGTGTGTGTGCATGCGCGCTCCCCGTTCCGATCCTTTTTTTGCACTTCCGCTCCCAATACGACGAACCACTCCTCCCTTTCGGATCATCATCACTTCACATACCGCCCGCCTTGCTTCGTTAAGCCATCGTCTTCTCTGCTTCACGCGTAGCAGGGCCTCGCAAAAGACGAGACACCCACGCGGGTAAGAACTAGACGCCCTACCCGCCCGACATCGCCAGCGATCATTCAGAGGCTACCCCCCCGGTCGTTAGCGGAGGAGATCGGTGCTCTTCTATAGGCAGGAAGAGAGGGCAAATTCGACCGGCCTCCTCTGTGAACATCGCCATTTCATACCATTTAAAATGCCGCAGCAGAATGCCCGCATCCGTTTTCGACACCGACAGCACTGTCCAAACGTTGTCTATTGCTTCCGCTTGCCGGTCCTTTATATCCTTCTCCGATAATATAGTGTACAGTGCCTGTACAACACCCACAACCACCACCATCGTTTACAAACAGACATAGACGCACAAAGCACAACACACGAGTGAGTTCCTCCCCCTCATCAGATCAGGAGAGGCGGGGGGCGCACACTCCCGCCCAAAAAAAGGGGGCCCAAAAGGTAGCACGAAAGAGGGAGGGGATCTAGCGATCGATGATTGATGCCTCTCCTTGCATGGCTGGGTCGGGTGGGGAGGTGTAGGGAGGTGTAGGGAGGGCTCTTATACACATCTAGATGTGTATAAGAGACAGATATAATGTACAGTGCCTGTACAACACCCACAACCACCACCATCGTTTACAAACAGACATAGACGCACAAAGCACAACACACGAGTGAGTTCCTCCCCCTCATCAGATCAGGAGAGGCGGGGGGCGCACACTCCCGCCCAAAAAAAGGGGGCCCAAAAGGTAGCACGAAAGAGGGAGGGGATCTAGCGATCGATGATTGATGCCTCTCCTTGCATGGCTGGGTCGGGTGGGGAGGTGTAGGGAGGTGTAGGGAGGGGGAGGGAGGGGGAGGGAGGGGGAGGGCTTAATGGAACGTGAGGACATGATTCAGGAGGAGCATCATCAACACAGAGACAAGACTCCTTTCGCCTTCTCCTTCCCTCGTTCTCCCCTCTCACCTGCGGAGCCGGCATATCTTCATCGTCGCTCCATGATCCTGTATCGATGTCGCTGGTTTCTTCCTCTGAGCTCGGTACGTCATCCATATCCACGTCAGCGTCCATGCTGTACTCGCTCAAAACGATCTCCTTCCCTTTCGCCTGGCTTTCCAGTGTGGTGTGCCCGCAATGCTCTCCTCCTTCCCCTAACGACCTCCTCCTACTCGTGCCCCCCTCCACTTCGGGTACCCTCCCCGACTTCCTCTCACCCAGTCAGGCTGGCTTTTGGCTCTCTCTCTGCCAGCCCCAGCCCGTCGTCCTGTTCCCAACTCCTGCCACGTCAGCCTCACTCAATCCACCTCTCTCTCTCTCTCTCTCTCTCTCTCTCTCTCTCTCTCTCTCTCTCTCTTGGATACACGCTCGCAGACACACAGAGGCAGGAAAAAAAACACAGAAAAAACAGAAACAACTGACGTAGAGTCAAATGGAATCAAATCTCCCGTGGATTGCCAAATATGCCCGCTCCCGCCGACGTTTCGTCCACGTTCTACAACGTCGAAAAGGTGGTGGGAGGCACCGACTGAATTGGCAATGCGATTAGCGATTGTGTGCCCTTCCGACGAACGATGACTATAAATTGTACGAGCCGCAGTACTTAGCCACAGTACGAGCCGCACACACACATAGCAAATTATGAGTGCGGACGTGGACTTCAGGACAGGAGGAAGAGGAAACAGGGAGGCACTATCCAATCCCAAGTGCACGTCCAGTCCAACACCAGCTGTCGCTAACTTCCCAGGAAAATGAAATCTCCAGTTACTTTTTACTCCAACGAGGGCGCGGAGCAGCTTGCCGCCTCTCACTCGACCCAGACTCTCTGCGTTTTCACTCTACCCGGCCCTCGGACCATACCCGCATTAGGGCTTTCCTGCACGTATCTGCCCGCAATTATGGCCCACTATGAATGTATCTGGCCGCAAAAGTGTCCAATGTGTCCAGAAAGACATAGTGTCACTTTGCCCTCAAGCGCTTAGACCCCCGAGACGCCCGGGCCGCCGACGAAGTTCACTACGGGCTTCGCCCCACTAACGGCTTCGCCACACCACTCTCGAAATCTGGAAAAGACAAAAATGTGGTGGGCGCATCTGGCCATGTTCTTGCGGGAAGGTCATTCTAATTTGGCACATTTCCAGCGTGGTGTGGCGATGCCCTAAAATAAACCAGCGTAAACACAGAACAGAAATGTTCTGCCGTCCGGTAATTTCAGCCGCTCTCTCCCTCACGCGCGGCTGATGGCTGATTCGATTGGTACGATTTGAGCAGGGCCAGCCAGTCCAACTCCGAGCGCAAAGAGAGGAGCGTAGCCACTGCAAACCCGCCGAAGGGAGCGGGGGAGGCGGTCGTGGCCACGCGCAGCAGCACCTACCTATCGACTTGTGAAGTTAGCACTGCTACCAGTAGTAGCAGTAGGGCAATAATAATGGCCTGTAATGTAATGTAATGGTCTGGGGCCAAGTCCCACAAGCAGCATTTAGTTTCCTCGATGCCCGAATTTGGACATGCAGAAAATCGCGTCGAATTTCCTCAAACGCACATCTCCGCAAGCACGTCCAGATTCGGGCGTTAAGGAAACTCAACGCTGCTGGTGGAAAATGGCCCCTGGTTGCAACACTCGGCCTGCGAATGACCGGTCGATGTACGAGAATTCCCGCGGCAGTACAGGGGAGAGCCCCACTTACTTGGATCCTTCGTTCTGGACCGTAGATGGCAACGATCGACGGCCGAGAACACAGGATCAGTATAGGGCGGACTTATGAGTTCCCGTGTGCTTTTGCCACATATAACTTCCCAAACAAATTCCTCAAAACTCGGAAAAAAGAACTGGAGAACCGTGAAAAATAGATCGGCTTGTGATGACTTTTTCACCCTCCCCAAAAAGCAAAAAGACACAAAAAGAAACAAAAAGAAACAGGAAAAAAAAAAAAACGAAAAAAACAAAACAAAACACTTTCTCACACTTTCTCACGCTTTCTCACCCTGGAAAATGCCGGTCATCTAGCGGCCTAGCTCAGTTGGTAAGGCACGCAGGTGGCATTCAGGAGGTCTTGGGTTCAATCCCCATTGGCCTCATGTACCTTCCTGGGCATGCTTGGCGCCCGCCACCTAGAGATAGCCCGTCGGTCCCTCTGCCACCGGCTGTCCCCTGGCCGGTGCCCCCCGTTGGGGGTTCCCTGAAGGCTATCAGGCCACCCTAAGGCTATCAGGCCACCCTGGGCTGAAAAGGCCACCGTTGTCAGATTAGACACAAGATAGAATTTACCTGGGCTGGTGAGTCCGATGATAATACCTCAAGGCCATCGCCCTTTGGGAAAAAAAAAAAAAAAAAAAAAAAAAAAAAAAATGTCGGCCGTGTGGGTAAAAAATGTCGTCTACCGAGTGGCCTGGCTCCGTTGTTAGACCTGCGAGTTCCAATTCCGGGGGCCAAGTCCCACTTACCCGAATGATCGATTTCTGACCGCAGATTCGGAAGATCAACGACCCGAAATCAAGGATCAGCGTAAGTGGGACTTGGCCCCCGGGCTAGGTCCCACTTGCACGAATTAAGAGATATTGACCGTAGATAGCAAAGATCAACGGCCGAAATCTCCTAATTTGCGCAAGTGGGACCTTGCCCCCGCTCGGATCCCGTTCGGATCAGACGAGTCAAAACAACTTCGAACTAAAAAAAAAAAAAAAAAAAGTCGTTTGACTTTTCCGGATCTGGAAAGCGTCCTACATGAAGGCAAAATTCCCGCTTTATAGCCCGTCGGCTGAGCTTGACCAAACATGGGAGTTGTCTCGTATGCCAGCCCTTCCCTATTTTGGTGCACTGCTAACCGCGTTTCACAAAGTGGAGGTGGGGGGAAAGGCCTAAGAAGAGTCCTTGAAGGGTGAAGAAAGGTGATTGGGTGGGCAAGACTGAATGACAAGTGGCAAGCAGGGCACCTCGTGTGTCATGCTTGATGAGCAGCACCAAATTTCTATTCTGGTATACTATTGGTTAGGGTCTTCTTCTTTTTGTCCCGGCGTGTTCGGGGCCTGAAGGCATCTTTTGAACACCCAAGTCACATCCTTCGTCCCTCATGGTTTTGGAAATGGAGCCAGAATATCAGGGAGGGGTTTGGAGGGTGGCAAATAGCAGTTGTGGAGAGGACCCAGAGAGCATGGTCAGAACTGTTTCCCGCAGGAGCGCAGGAAACACAGCCTGGAGGCCTGAGGACCAGTGGAACTACTTTCTTGACTTTAATTAACAGCAAAATAATAACAATTATGTTTGAATTTCAATGTTGTTATTTGTTTCTTTGATGACTGGAAGTTCTACTACCTTTTCCCATGTGGGCCGCCGTTGGGCCAATCTTTAGGAGGCCGAAACTGATGAGATTTATCAACACTGGTTGTCCTCTGGCCCAGCCTCCTGTTTTTCAGTAGTAGGATATTTTCCCATTTTCCCAACAGCGGGAAAGGTAGTGGGGTATTGAGAAAACAAAAGAAAAAAACAAAAAAAAAGTACGAAAAAATCAAAGTCAACATGGAAAAAAAAAAAACACACACACACACACACATCCGAGAGAAAGAAACAGAGAGAGAGAGAGAGAGAGAGAGAGAGAGAGAGAGAGAGAGAGAGAGAGAGAGAGTCAGACGGCGCTGCCTTACAAGGGTATTTGGCCATGTTTTTGCAGTTCGCATGAGCCACATCAGTGGTGAGGATGAGGTAGTGGGGTGGTTATTTTTGCATGTTCCACAACCGACTCTCAGAATCTGGCGTGGGAGTGCACGTATGGTGACGTTAGAACGTGCGTGGGCATGCACTTTGAGGGGCGCGTCAATTATCCAAATGCTTCGCGATTCCGCGGACCAGCGGTAGAACCGGTGATCTTGCACCGTTGTGACGAACTGTTTCTGTAACCGCGCGACTTTCTGCGTGACGCTACTTCGGGGGTTGATCAAGAGGAGCCCGTCCAAATGCGTGAATGCCCTCGTTTTTTTTGGGAAAGGGGGTGGTCCCACGACGGTTGGTAGTCGATCACGCCTTAGCGAGCACGAAAAATAGTTGTTGCCATAACTTCTTTCTTGTTCTGCTGTGGGGAATGAGAATTTTGGCGTGATCGTCATGCGGGAATGTCATTTCAAATTTTCAACTAATGTTGAGCTCCCGCGGACTCTCAGAATTTTTTTTTTCTTTTGAATTTCTTTTTGCAATTAGGATATAAACTAGGCTAGGAATTTGGGCACATCACAATTTTGTCAGCAACTACACGACACTTATTGCTTGCGCGCGCTCTGTCGCGTCAGGATCTGTGCTCTGGCTTTTCCGCGCCTTAAATCTCACGTGTAACTGTAAGTGTTTTCTTGGCAGAGCACAAATGTAATTGTAATCCCCTCCTTCTTGATATCTTCGCCGCGCCCCTGCGCATGCTTATTCTTCCCAATCTTATTGGCCTTAGCGATGCATGACTGGATCGATGCGTGGAGAGTGGTTACGTCCCCCACGCCACAGCCTGGCCATGCAGCCGTAGGCACTTCCTTCTTCCTCCCTCCCATTCAGGCACAATCCCGAGTATCTCGTGCAATTAACTCGCTCTCTAATGAATTTTGGAGTTAGCATGGTCGAGCGGATCGACTAACAGGCAAAAGCAGACGGTGAGTAGAGAGAGTTGGGCGATCCAACGGACTGGTGCTGGGTATGCGGGGTTGACGTGTGGCCGCAACGGACTGTGGCACACTCTCTGTGTAGGTGCGAGGAGTGCCCGCATCGGGATGGAGAGAGAGAGAGAGAGAGAGAGAGAGAGAGAGAGAGAGAGAGAGAGAGAGAGAGAGAGAGAGAGAGAGAGAGAGATGATGTGATGAAATGATGTTTTTTCTTCGATTCTTCTGAGTAATTTTAATGCCTGGCGCAAACCGTCTTTGTTTTTGGGTTTACCATTCTCGGACTGTTCTTCTTTTATGAAATGATGTGTGATTTTTTCTTCTTCTTTTGATGTGTGATTCTCTCCCCGCCCTTTTTTCCCTCCATTTGAATTTTCAACTTGATTGATTATATGCACTCGGCCCATGTATGTTCGAAGTTTGATGCATGAGTGTTTGTCGTTTCTCCGTCGGATGTAATAGGCATGAGCATGTCAGTTGGTTAGACGCCTGTTTCACGCTAAGTTCGTCGGTAACATCTTTGGATCGACATGTCGATGTACATATACCCAAAACTGAATTACTGGCAATCCCCCACCTGATCGACGGAAGATCCTGTGCACCCACACGTATACGTGACCGAAGAAGGTCGTCACGTAGATGTGTGTCTATAGGACCTGGCCCCGATCCGACCCTCCTTCCCCTTCCCTCATCACGGTCGAACACCCCGGACGTATGCAGTATGAATATCGAAACCCCTTTTCGGATCAATGACCGCGAGTGCCAGAGGGATCTCGAGTTCCGAAAGTATTGGGAGCACGCGTGTCTGTCTGCCCGATCGAGGGCGGAGCCCGTGGAATTTCCATACTTGACGGGAACCTAGCGTATTTAAGAGTGGGATATTGGTCAGGCTTTGGAACATATTCCACACCTCCCCGAATATCCCAACCCATACACGTGTCAGATTGTCGTTGGACCTGACATCGCTATCCTAAAAACCGAATTCCCACCCTATCACCGCATATTGCCTTTCCACTGCTTGACCGTTGCCCCTTGGCAGACCCTTGCCCCTTACCTACTAGCCCCAACCCCCGTGCTTCGAGTGCCTGCAATACCACGCCTATCGAGCGTCGAGCTTCATTCGGCGAACCCGCTCAGAAGCCGAACGACGGGAGCACAACCTTCGGCTGAGACCAACCGCGCCCGATTTAGAAACCTGCAATACTT